CCCCAAAACCCCAAAACCCCAAAACCCCAAAACCCCAAAACCCCAAAACCCCGTTATATTTAGAGAAGCTTGAACATTGCAATTATCAAAGGAAATGGATTCCCCCAAAAGCCCAGAGTTAGACATCGAAAGACTAACAATACCAGATTTCTCAGAGATAGAATCTGAAAAATTCAAGAAAGAAGCAATTGTGCCTTATTTCAAGGACATTTATAGAGATCTGGCCTCCAGATCTGATAATAAAAGTGCAGGGATTAACAAAGTCACAATTATTGATTACTGACACTTTCCAGGAATATTGGCTGAAAGATTTTTCTCCCTCCTTGATGATAACAAGGATGAATATATTGACATGAAAGAGTTTATTTACATTTTGTTCAGGATCTATTACTCCCAGTTTGATGAGCAGGTCAAGCTGGTCTTTGAAATATACGATTTTGACTGTGACGGCTATATTACAAAAGAAGATGTTCGGATCATTCTCTCCTATATCCCCATTCTAAAGGACGATCAGGAAGAAGTGAAGGAGAAAGAAGGGACATTCTCTCAATCTGAGGAGAACTGTGAAGGGTTTGAAGCCAGAATTAAAATACAAGAGGAAATCTCTGAGTTACTCGGTTTGGTCTTCGCAGAAAAGGAAAAACTCGACCTCCAGGAGTTTCAGGAGATTAATGAGACTATTAGCTCTGATATGCTTGTGACCGTCCTATCCTTGATCAAAGATAAACTTCCTTGTAGTGAAAAATTCTATAAAATTCAGCAAGAATTTTTAGCAAACAAAGAGAAGGAAGAGGCCAAGAAGTTGAAATCAAAGGTTCTCTTTGTAGAGACCAAAAGGGAAAAGTCTATCCCTACACCTAATGTGCTCAAATCTTTGTCTCCTCTAGCTAGGAACAATATCTGAGGCGTCTCTTCCCCGGTTAGCCACTTGAAGAAAATTATGAACCAAGATACATTTGGAGAAGCTACTGCTGGAATTAAAGAAGAAGATATTGACCTGAAAAATTTTGAGTCGCGTAAAAACAAAGGGGATGAAGTATCCTCCAGCACCACTAACGATGAGTCAGAGTCCCCTACAACCAAGCAAGATTTAGTGAGACTTGCTAACAAAAATACCGAACCAAAAAGCCTCTTGAGCAAGGATAGGAAAAATGTATTTGCATCCCCTACTTCTTTTTTAAAAGGCACGAGGAGCATCAAGGAAGAAACTGAAATCAGCCCTATAGTTAAGGATAAAATTGAACATGAAGGAGAAATGATGAGACAAGCCAAAGAGGATAAATTTAAGAAGTACTACTACCGCCTCTTTGACAAAGAACTCTATGTGTACAAAACTAAGAAAGATAAGGTCCATAAAACCATGATAAACCTTATCGGAGTGTTTCTCCGCACAGACAAGGAGGAGCCACTTGATAAGAAGAATGTACTGTACCCCTTCACGCTTATCTTCCCTAACAAAGAGAGAACTTTTTACCTTTTATCGAGCAAAGAAAGATCTGAATGGATTGATAAAATTAAAAAGGCCATTGGATATGCCCACTTGCATGATTATTACGAGCTCAAAAAGTCTATTGGCAAGGGAAAATTTGGTACTATAAAGCTAGGAATTCATAAGAAAACAGGCAAAAAGGTAGCCATTAAGATTATGAGAAAGAAAAATATGTCCATGCAAGATATTGTCCTGCAGAAAAGAGAAATAGAAATTTTGAAAATCTGACAGCATCCAAGTATTATCAGACTTCTTGACATATTTGAGAATCATGACTATATCTACATTGTTATGGAGTACTGAAAGGGAGGAGACCTCTTCACATTTTTGGAGAAGAGAGATTTCATGATCCCAGAAACGAAAGCCAAGCAACTGGCCCATTCAATTGCTACTGGAATTTTTTACCTTCATAGTTTCGGAATTGCTCATCGTGACTTAAAACCTGAAAACATTTTAATGACAGATAATACTGATTCAGCCACTCCGAAGTTAGTAGACTTTGGTTTATCTAAGATCATTGGGCCTAGTGAAACTTGTACTGAACCCTTCGGAACACTTTCATATGTAGCGCCTGAAGTTTTGCTGCAAAAACCGTATGATAAAAGTGTCGATCTGTGGAGTTTGGGTGTTATTATATACTTACTAATATCTGGAACCCTTCCTTTCGACGATGATGATGATAGAGAAATCGCAAGACAGACAATTCATGATGAACCCGATTTCTCATATAAAATTTGGAAGAAAATGGACAAAGGAACTCGGAAGCTTGTAGCAAGCCTTCTTGAGAAAGATAAGAGTAATAGAATGGATTTATCAGACGTTTTACAGCATCCTTGGATCGTCAACAAAAGTGACAAAATTGCTCTCAATAGACGAAACAGTGGCGACTCCTCTGCTGCTAAATTCAAAGCATTTGCGATGACAGAGGAATTCGACGGGTCAGATGAAAGTTAATGAGATCATATAAAAAGTTATATCTAATTCATAAAAATTCCTCAGGCACGTTTATCCAAAAATGAGGAGGTTTATCACCCCAAATCTTTCATATCCCTTCTTATCTACTACTTCTACCCATGTTTGACTACATTTTCTTATTTTTGGAGTTAAAGTCCTAGAACACACATCCAATTGGAAATGCAAAGGGTAGGAATCGGTATAACTTTAGATAAGAAATTCATATTTGTCCCTATTATTCAATTGTAAAAGCAAACAGAGGGGTTTTGGGGTTTTGGGGTTTTGGGGTTTTGGGGTTTTGGGGTTTTGGGG